TTAATCCAAGCAATTATCGACAAGACCGAAGCATGATTTGTGCTACTTCAATTTTTTTTTCTCCCTTTTGCGAAGTTATATTTCTATGAGAGATGCGTCCCCTGTCAGTTCTGACGGAAAGTAATCTAAAAATGAATAGGCGTAATGATTACAAGATACAATACATTTTTCATTAGGATATATAAATCACTTTGATGTAAAGTAAATACTTTTAGCTATTCATTTGTATTTTCTATGCTGTTTTATTACGGTTGGATGTAAGTATTAATCTGTAGTTTATTGATATAATTATCGTTGCTGTTTTACGATGCCTACACATTGATGTCCTAAGATAACTCGTATAACTACCGTTGTGTCTTTGGAATATCCAAGTTTGATTATTTTCAGTGCGGAGCTGCTATTGTATTTTAAAAACTTGTTTACGAGTTAGAGGATAGCTATTAACCCCTGGATGATAAATATTCACCCCTGTTATTGATTGCTATCGCGTTATATCATTTAATATTTGTGAATCCAAATCCAATCTTCGTTATTCTTATTTTTTTTTGTTTGACATAACACTCGAAGAAAGGGATGGAAGGGAATCATTAATCCGTCTCCGGGGATCGCTAGATAATTTATATAGGCCTGTAGTTATTTTTATTTTCAGTGAATATTGTAATTCTTTCATAGCAATAAACAATTATTATTGTCAGTCATAAGCGGAGAGGGGCATTGTTTTCAATGTTGCATTTTAACATGTTGGATTTTTATATAATTTTTGGAAAATTACTAATAAAACAATAATACTGTATATAAAATTGCATAAAAAAGGACGTCTCGTATATTTGATTTATTTGTCCATTGAATGGAACTTATGTTAAAACATTTCTTTTATTTTTAATTACAGTACAACATATTTATTTTTTTATTATTTCTTTATTCAATTATTGTTATTGGATGGAATTTATAGGCTTAACGTTTTCAGTATATTTATCTTAGTTAGCATGATTGATAATTCAGTAAAATTATGGTATAAACGTTTATTTTCTTGTCAGTAATATAATTGTGTTCATTTATACAAAGTATCGGGCAGAAGTTTGCAGTTAATTCATAGTTAAACTTTTGAATTTTGGAGGTTTTATCACTTAAAATTATTGATAGAGAATTAAACGAATATTTAAACATGCTTTGACTAATCGATTACAAATTTTTTGTTTTGAATTCAATTTTGAATATATGTTATCTTCGCAAAATAATAACCAAGGTGTTCACTCAATTACTGTTCGTTTAGGAATATTTATTACGCTACATACAATACGAGTTTTCATTTCTCGAATTGTGACGTTTTCGAATCACTTACCCTGCACATTCTGCTCAATGATGAATTATTTAAAATGGCATTACAAATGCGTTATATTTCATACCGTACACACTTTTATTTACTTAGGTGTTCCGTTGAATGAATGGTCTTACAAGCAAGAGGTGAGCCCAGCCCCTCCGATCCCACAGGAGAAAGCTGCGAGCCCCGCTGCACCTGGATGGCGTCAAGGTAATACTATTACAATTCAAGCTGATGGGTGACGTCAGCGACACGCGTAGATATCCTAAATTACATACCATGAATAAATGAACATGCCATCATTGTGCATTATCTTATTATAATGAGGTGCATGCATCTGATTACCGTACTATAAGACTGTATTCTTATTAAATTCGGAATGGTTCCTGCATGCACGTAAGTCACGCGATGCACGCCTGTCACGCGCGTCATGATGATGCAATTGACACTGTTGACTTTCCCAGGCCATTAATGATTGATGAGAATCTAACGATCAACATAGGTTTTCACCTTTAGTTGTCCATGCGTAGTGTTGTCCTCTCGCAACAATATCTCCGCACATGCATGCACAACTTATGTTATTTCTCTGCTTGCTCTGCAGGGATGACGGTTCCAGATTGGGCATACAAGGCCGAGAGCTCGCCTGGAAGTAGACAGATCCAGCTTTGGCATTTTATCTTAGAGTTGCTACAGAAGGAGGAGTACCGTGAGGTGATCGCCTGGCAGGGAGAGTACGGCGAATTCATCATCAAGGACCCCGACGAATTGGCCCGACTCTGGGGAATGAGGAAGTGCAAGCCGCATATGAACTACGATAAACTAAGTCGAGCTCTTAGGTTTGTTGATTTTTCTAATTTCTTATTCTTTCATGATTTCGTCAATGTGACATTTAACCTTCTGATGACGATTTGCATCGAATGTTGCGATGTTGTTTGTGTCCTTGATACTATTTTAATCTTAACATACTTTTCCTTTCAGATATTACTACAACAAACGAATCCTGCATAAAACTAAGGGGAAACGTTTTACGTACAAGTTTAACTTCAACAAACTTGTCCTTGTTAATTACCCAGCAGCTGATGTCAAGTTTCTTTCCCAGTATGCACCACCAGCTTCGGCGCCGCCATATTGTGTCACATCGCCTGATGACGTCTTCAATAATGCGCAGAATAACGCGCAACCTCCGCGTATCATTCCGCAAGATAGGCGCACACGTCGCAGTGTATCAGAATCGAGTAGTGAATCTCTGGAGTCTTCGGAGACGGACGATATTCATAAACAGTCGAGGGAGCGTTCGCATAGCGTGGGTGATGTGGAAATTAAGCCACTCGTACGGCAGAATCGTGAAATTCCGAATCATATGCCTGCTCCGCAAATACCAATGACAGAACTTAAACAGCCACCTGTACCTCTTCACGGTGTCCCCGTCCCTTCCATACCTTTTCAAGCATACCGACCAACGTTTCTTTCACATTCTTTACCCGCTAGTCCATGTTACATGTCTCCCATGGCCAGCCCTCAAGTTACTATGAGTCCGTTGTATTTATCCTCTTTACCTCATGGGGCACCACGGTTTAATTATTCATCGGATACGATCGCTGCACGTTTAGAGTACGATCGCTTGGCACACATCCGCGCTAGCGAAATACCTCGACCAATGCCGAATGTTGTACACCCGTCGCCAGGAACTGTTTGGCGGACGCATACAGAGAATGAATCGCGCTTCCGCTCCATAGAGTTACGAGAAAAATCTCCTGAAAAGCCAGTGCAAATACCTGATAGGCCAGTAAAATCCCAGCTGTACCAACGAAGAATGTCAACGCAAAAAAGCATTCCAGCATCGCAAGGTTCAGCCCCATCAGATGATAATTGCTTTACAGGAGATTCAATCGAACAGCCAATTATAGAAGTGACTGGGCCAAAGGAAGAAAGTAATGCAGAAGAGGAAGAAAAGAAAGAAGATAGCGAAGTAGTGAGGACCGCTACTCAAGATCTAGAAAGAAATTTACTGCGTAATTCACTGAATAGTAGCATGGAAATACCGAAATCGGCCACACTTCCAATGCCGCGGAGGTTTAACATTCCGGAGCATATGGAAGTGCCTAAATCAGCGAACGAAGTTGACCTGATGCGCAAAGAAGCCGATAAGAATATACCTATAAAGTTACGAGTGAAAAGAAAGTGGAATCGCGACAATAGTAGACCTCCTTCGTTCCATGAAGCAGATACCAAGTCGCCGAAACTCACTCCAAACGACCTTACATCCTCTCACTCGTTACCCTGTACGCCTACTCAAAAGGCCACTCGAGTGTCTTCGGGTACGGTCTTCCAATTTCCGCCAGTTGCAGAAGATCCAATACACGGCGACGCTATGCGCCGCTTTCGTGAGACATTCTTCGATACTGATAATAAGGTGAACTCGCCAGGAAATGGACTTTTACGAAGCGCACTCTCAAATAGTTCTCTGGAACGTTTAGAAGCAGTTTGTAGAAGTCAAAATAGTTATGACTTAAAGAGGTCACGTACGCCCTCTCCCGTTAAAAATTCTACAGACGACGATACTGGTAAACTTTGACTTAAGTCTAAAAACGAGTAAAATCTTAGTAGCATTAATGCAAAGTTTATAAAATGTGTATCAATTTTCTTTAAAATTCTGTTTTTACTACCGTATATTCAGCTACGAAACCACATTGGTATATTAGCAATGTGAAAATCGTGTGTAAGCCGATTTCTATATATTGTATTATATTAAAACTCAAATTGATAACATAAACTGTTTTATATGCGCGATAAGGCAAATAAATTGATAATTATTTTGTATAACTGATGCTCATAAATTCCTAAATCGGTTTTATAAACTGGGTTAGGAGTGTCTTTAAGTTGTCAATGCTATACACTGTTCATTATCTTCATTCGAAGATATTATCCGATTAAATTACCGTACTGAGTCTACTTACCGGCATGTAAGCAGTTTGACGTGTAATAATAGGCCTAACTAATACCATGTATCTAATTCTGTGTAAAAAAAGATGCTCATTCAAGAAAATTTGGAGTTGCATCCACTATGCCTATGCTCTGCGAATTGCTTCCCAGACGTAAGCTGTATTTACATCGAATCCGAAAATTCGGACCGCGTTTTCAATGCGCTGAGAGCGACGCGTTCCATCAGTCAAATTATTGGAGCGTATACCCTTTTGAAACCGCGGCACTCGTTCACATCACTATTCTGATACCGATTCGATTTTCTGATCGGTTCCTCGGTGGGCTTTCCGATCCGAAAATTCGGACTTGTGTGAATGCACCTTTACTTGAAGAAAAAAAATGTATTATAGCTGAATAGTGAATTTTAATTGCGTTGAAGATTTCATAGGCCTACGTAAACTGCTTATTTAGAGATATTTTTAAAATATTGTATTCAGTACTCCAATTTCCACTGTCTCTGTGACTTAATAGCTGTTTAGAGAATCTGGCTTTGGCTGACTTTAGTATTTATCTTTCAAAATCTCGTTACCAGCTATCGGGATAATCCTGAATTTATCCAGGATCAATAAAAATGCGCTGTAAAACAAACTTACGACTAAATACGTTTTCAGTAAAGCATTCAGTGTACAACCTTGATGTTGCATCTCTATGATATAATGTTTGTTTAGTGTGTGCTTGCCCGCTGTATGTGAATAATGTTATGTGTAAAACCGACCGATTGACGTCACACAGTTCATGACGTCATACAGTTATTAAAATGCGATTGGTCACAAACTAGATTCGTGTTTTTATGTATAATTTTAAAATAATATGGGATATTCGATACTGTAGAAATCCAAATCATAGATCATGTAATATGTTAGCTTGTACGAATGTTACACTTTTTCAAACTAATTCAAAAAGGAGATGTTCATACAAGCAAAAATCACACAGTACAAATATTTTTTCTCGATATTAAACTTGGTATTGGGAACACTATATATTTATATGAAGAATATTTAGAAATCTTTATATTATTCTGTAGGAAAGGAAACACTTAAAACACTTACATGTTAAACTGGGTATTTTTCGGTATGGAATTTGTATGTCCTGCTGTTATTAACATACAATTGATATAAAACCGCAAGTAATAATGTAACAAAACTATATAATCAAACTATAAGGCTAAATGTATGTTTGTTGTGTGGATAAGCGTGTGTTCTCGTGGAAGAGAAAACAGACTAAAAAATGTGCAAGATGTCAATGTAAGTGAAGCGCCCCCAACCGAGTGAATTGAATGCTGCGTTCGTGTGCAAAATGTTCAGGTAAAGTTTGGCATTGATGTGCTTCAGAAGAGATTGCTGTAATAATTACATGTCGATTATAAGCTGAGAGTCTGGCTTGATGACGTAATATAAACAAGTGTGTATGACGTTCCAGAAGTTTGCTAATGAAAATTATTTAGAGCAAACTTAAAGGGGTGGTGTCCGGATTTCTTCCCTTTTGAAACTACTCTTAATGCAAAGAATAGAAAGAAATATTACTTTGTACAAGTTCCCAATTATTATATCTGTAAAAATGGTCCAGTATGATGGTCGAAAACACAATAACGAAAAATGTTTTCGTTATAAAAATACAGTAATAATAACTCTATTTTTTTTCTTAGTTTGGCGAATGATAATTTAACCATGTTAATAATTTCAATATTATTTAAAATCTTTGTTTCATAGCGTTGTGTTAATTTTATTAAAATTTATGATTATTATCACGTGTTATATTACCCAGATCTATATTTTCGGTTGACCATACTCTGATAGTAGAGGCCATTTCCCGATAAAAATTGTTTTTAGGAATGGATAATTATGATCAAATCAATTGCTAAAATTCAAATTATGTACTTCATTGTTAACGAAAAGTTTTATCCCTATTATTAAAAATTAGTAAGTGTTTCTATTAAAATCATGATTGATGATCTAGGCCGACATACCAAAATGTCAGCGATGTTTGCAATTTGGCAAAAAATTGTGGACGTTCAGAATGCATGCAACATTAAAACTGTTAAATGATTAGACATAACTGTTTGTATATAATACGCAAAGAATATTCAACAATGTTAAAGAGAAAGATTTGAACAAATGCACCTGGTATGGTATGTAAATGAGCGTACCGGTACTCTAATTGCTAAGCAACTAGAAGCGTCGGAATATGGCGTAAGTTGGTTAGCACTTTATTACTATTTAGTTATTGCGCCATAAGTGTACTGTAAGTTTTTTAAGCTGCTTTTTTTCAATTTGTATAGATGATATTTAAAGCTGTACAGTATGATTTTTTCCCCTTTTTTTATGTAATTTTAGAATTTTTGCACCAATCAGGTATGTTCTAAGTTGAATTGTATTTAAGGTTAAGGACTTGATCGAAGGACGTTGAACAAACAACCACGTTGAATTGGACACTCATAACAAATAAATAAATATATTAATTGTCATGTTGTGAACATGCATATAAAGTTGTATGATTTTATTTATTTACTCATTCTAAAAGACTGAATTTGACAATTGGAATATAACATTACTGTATACTCTGTATAGGCTCTCGTACCATTCCTTCATGCTATTAATTATAGCCAGCATAAAACCATAATGTTAAATAACTCAAAAAACCAATTGGGAAACAATGCTAACCTCTGACTGTTGACCTGACATAATCTGTATGCTACAGTATTTTGTAGGCCTACGTACGTAATTATACATGTATCTTTACTTAAACGTTCGAAACACCCCCTACCCCCATGCGCGCCACCGGCCTTTTGTGTAGGTAGGCATTTCCTCAGGTCGTCCCGCTGAATTCCATTCACCAAGCCTGACATTATGCCTACATGGTTTACAATGAACTTATGAATAAATATGCTGCTTGCATACAATAAGATAACCATTATTCATCATTCATTAATTCACACAGAAATATATAAATAATAATTACTTGCAAGATGAACAAAGAGTATCGGAAATCCTGATTCAAGATGACGTTTTAAGCTGTTCTCTCATAATTGATATACAATAATAAACTTTACGTCAACAAGAGCTAGAATCAGCAGAATCCATTACGATTTTCTGTGGCCATGTACAAGGGCGAATGATTTTTTAATAAACAGGACTTTACATATCGGCCTACAAATACTGTAAATAGAAAAGTTTCAACATAAGTTACAGTACAGTGGATCTTACCTATAGCGCCGGATTATGCTGTTCTTCTTGTTACCAGAACTTTCAAAGCATCCAGAATCGCCAGTTTTGAACGGACGTGCAGGAAATTCTGTACACATAAACTAGAGGTTATTTCAAACAATCATGGTCCCTATTTTAAGTTTTAACTCGGGGTTTTCCCCCTACACATACAAAGCGAAACAGGGGTATTAGCAAGGACTACACTGCCATTATCACTAATAGGACAAGTCGCATGGATGGCGCGGTCAGTTGGCGATGTGTTGTAAAGGAGTGAGTAAACCAAAGGATGGGGGTTTGAATCTCGTCTTATAACTTTATTTTTTCTCAATTTTGAGACATTTTATTTACTTATTTTTTTTCTATTTATTTTTTATTATGAACCCTTGCCAAAAACCCAATAGGCCTATAATAACTTACGCCACTGTGTACTGACAGTATTCTTCCACGTTTTAATAATGTCAACAAAAAGCCTCGTCGGAAAGGTGAATATACGGATAGAGCAAAACGCTGAATAGAGGTAACCCCATTTAACGCGCGGACCGGTGAGCAGTCGCTCTTGATTTTCTCAAGACTAAAACGAATGCCAACTTTTAAATCATTTACTGAGAGTATTTCACAATTACTTACTCTACTTGATACGATTTTATTCGAACAATACGATAAGATACAGAGATTCACAAGCAAACAGCATACATACAGTAGTAGGCCCTGTATTGAGAACCCAAAAAGCGGCGGGATATTCTGAATATTATTCCAGCTTATTACTTCCATTGGGGTTCGTTGCAATTTTATTTTGGATGTCAAAGAAATATAAATCAAGTCACACAAACCACATTGATTTATTCAGCTCATTTGCACTAATTATTATTATTAGTTGACTTTAGAAACACT